ACGGACCGACCTCCGCGTGCCCCGGCAGGAAGTGAAAGGGCTCCGGGGAGTCAGCCGTGCGAGCCCCGGCTGCGCGCAGGCACGCTCAAGATGGATGCCAGAATGGGTTAGTCCCCTTTTTGCTCGGTTGGCTTTAATCGGCGCGAGGTAAACCGGCGCGGAGGCTTTTAATTGCTCTCTCTAAAAAAAAGAGAGGGTTGCTTGGTGCAGGGTTGGTTTTTTTCAAGAGGATTAGCAGGTTAAATACACTTGGTTTTTATCCTCAAAGCAATACGGATTGTTCTGGTTTAACTTAAATATCTGTGAAAGGAAGAAAAGACTTGGAAACCAGCAAAAAAAGCATTCGCGGCGCTTGCTTTAATAGCGAAATGTAACTGGATGAGCTCTGCATGTAAGGCAGGGATGCTAGCAGGACTATTTTTAGACGTGCCAAGTGACAGTTCGTGCTTACCAAATGTAGGCAGCTGTTCTTGCTTTAGAACAGGCCTGGGATACTTGCATTAAATGCACGGGATTATAGCTGATATTCTAGAAAATAAAGCTTAAAACGGCGAGGAAGGCTACTGCTTGTTTCTGAGCGCCGGCTGGGTGTGGTGTTTTCCTGGTTTTTAATCTGTGAGTGCAGTCAGAGCTGCTCCCAGTAACGCTTTTAGTATTTTTTTTTGCTTCAGAAAGAAATGCAAATACCTGTTTGTGATCGATTGAGGGGTGTAAATCAGTTCCAAAAGGTGCCCTCTCTCGGACTGCAAATTGCAAATCGGTGTTTCAGTGATTTAGGACACTGAATTTCCTTGGAGGAATTTACAATGAAACCGGATAGGTATGTCGTTACGCTGGGGCCGAGCTGGTAGTTCTCCGGACGGAGTGAGGAGGAGTGGGCAGCGTAACTCTGGTCTGGGGGGTTTTAGGGGGGTTTTTCTTCCTGATGACTGAGAACAAAAGAATTGAAGATGGGTCCTGGGGGCCGTTTGTGGTATGCTTTAATTCCAGCAATTTACCTTTGTTTCTTATGGTTTGGAAACCGTGGGATGGATTAATTACTGTCTTCACATTGCTGATGGGAATGGCACGATGCCTCCCCGCTTGTGTGAAGTGATTTCCTATGCATCTGCTGTCCGTGGAGACCCTTTAAAACTGTCTCACAGGGAGGGAATATCCCTTGTACAGAACTAAGGGAGAAGAGTAGGGCTCATACTTGGTGTGTCACGTGATACGGGAGCAGCACCCACAGCTGAGCGTGCGGATGCTCAGATCGCAGCATTTAAAAATGAATGTAGTTGCAGCATTTGAAGCAAATACTCATAGAGAAATGAGTTTTTCCAAAGATTTCTTGTATGATTTAGTAGCACAAAATTCACCTTTTTTTTTTTTTTTTTGGCGAGACTGAGTTTGGAAATCTCACCCAGGGGTTATGGATACTTGCAGCTCGAGTCAGGTTTACAGTTTACAACAGTTTCTAGGTTAAGCTCGCAATTTCATTCCTAAGCTCCTTTCACATGCCCAACTTGCTTGGGTAGGGTGCACAAAGACACCAATAGACACTTCTGTGTTTCGACGTGAAGCCAAAGGAACCAAAGAAAATGTAAAATTTAGGGACTGTAGCCCATACAAAAAGAATTCTGTGTTGACTTGGCTGGTTTTTTTTTTGGTGTGTGCGTGTTCTTTACAAATATTAAAGAAAAGTGGTGTCGCTTAGAGCCTCATTTGTCTGACAGGGAAAATAGAAGCTCAGCTTTGTGACAGGAAGAGACCCAGGTCAGCGGGACACGCAGAGAGGCCGGGCTGCTATTTGCCGAGGACGTCAGGTTGGTGCCGCTCCGGGAGCTGGAGCGTCACCTCCTGCAGTTGGCTGCTCTATCTCTCACCCCATATGTTTGGGGAGTCACATGGTGAACCACATCCAGGATCTGATCTTGCTGCCTGCTTCGTTTTTATTTTCTTCTGGTGCAGCAGTCGTCAGCGACACGCAGAAAACCAGGCTGGGATTGAGTGGTGGTGGAGGGCTTGAGGCTGGCTATTCCCACAGCCCAGGAGGTTTATGGCAGGTTTAAGGTGTTCATGTGACTGTGACCTGATTCCGTCTGTAGAGCTTCGGGGAATTCCTAAATTAGGTATTTGGATAAAATATTCTGCATTATGAAAATGATGGCGTTAAGTTTCTGACCAGGGTTCTCTCCTTCCCAGCGCCTGCTGCTCAGTCCAGTTTCCCTGCGGAAATTATAAGGGAGGGACACCTTCTCTTGTAATAAGAAGGTGCTTCTGTTGTAGTAATTGTTCTGTATCTCGAGTCCTGTATCTGAGCATTCTTACGTTATTGCTATTAACAAACAGTTTTGATGCAGAAGAGGGGTTTGTTCTTGTGCAAACCTGCCCAGCTGTGGCAGTAGGAATCGGGAAGGATGAGCCCAGCTGTGGCAGTAGGAATCATGGAGGATGAGTTTTATTGTGTGTCTCGCTGTGGAGCATAGCGCTAGACCAGCTGTCCCTGCACCTCAGACCACAGAAATGTGCAGTGGGTGTGCTGAGCCGTTACCTAGGACTTGTGCAAGGGTTGGCCCTGAACGGTGATGCTAAAAATTATTCTGTGCTCTCATGAGGGTCGCTCAAGGAAGAAATAAACTTGGCTTACGAAGGAAGCATTCTGCGTGGTAGCACAGCAGATTTAGCCCGGATTGAAATTTCAGTGAGATTATTCCCTCTTGATGGCTCAGTCTGTCACCCGTGATCAACGTTATGAACTCCCATGGGAATGTCTTCAGTCAAAAGGAAAACGAACTGTTAATGAGGTTTAAGCAGTGCCTTTGCCTCGACCAGACGTGCAAAGGTGTAACGGCTTAGAGAGCCGAGTGTCTTGTTTGTTATAACGGGGAACCGGGATCAGTCTCTTCGGTGAGTGAGCTCTGCAAAATCCACAAAAATAAGATGAAATGAAGCACAAACTGCTGTGGTTCTGGTGCAGGATACGGCACGGCAGTTGAAGAAATTAATTCTGACATTGCTTCAGGGCAGAATTGTTCTTAAATGTTACAATTACATTTGAGGTAATCCTAATAACAATAATACCAATGGTCTCAAGCCCAATGCAAAATCAGTGCTCAAATAACCTATTTTTAGTTGCAATTTCAGCTCTGGTTTGACAGTGAGATTGCGAGTTCCGCTCTTGATGACACTGAGCAGTCAAATGAATCGTGTTTTACTGTTTTTGTGTGGATGCAAAAGGTACCTTGTGCTAATCTCTCACCTTTTTTTGAATTTCAGTTGTTGACCTCCTTTACTGGCGAGACATCAAGAAGACAGGAGTGGTGTTTGGTGCCAGCTTGTTCCTGCTGCTTTCATTAACAGTGTTCAGCATCGTGAGCGTGACAGCTTACATTGTCTTGGCCCTGCTTTCTGTGACCATCAGCTTTAGGATATACAAGGGAGTTATCCAGGCAATCCAAAAGTCTGATGAAGGCCACCCATTTAGGTGAGATTTTTCTTGTAATTAAGTAAAAGCGTGGCGTTTTGGGGCACGGCACTATGGGTGCTGCTAGAAGCACCAGTGACATAGGCCATAATAATGGAAATAGTCTCTGTGCTGGAAACGCGTTACCCAGCCTATGACTGCTGCTCTTTCAGGTTTCCTCAGTGGGTGTACACGGCAGGAAAGAAAATGGGTTGAGCACCTGGTGCAGGGGATTTCCCTGGGAATGCTGGAGTGTCTTGTTACATTAAAACCAAACCTATACGCCTCATTCTACTGGAGTAATGTGTGCAGTTCGCAGTCTTCAGAACGTGGACCAGTGGCAGATGATGTCCAAAACCCAAAGAATACCCGGGAGATGCAGCACTTTCAGTGCACTGTATTTAGAAAGAATCAGAATAAGCATAACCGAGGATACTTTTATCTTTTTGGAACTTCTTTTTTGAAGAACACTCTCAAAACTTAGGTTTTACTCCAGGGCACGTAGCTGTGCTCTCCACATGCAAGGCTGTGTCACCAGCAGCATCCAGGTTCGTTGCAGCCTGCCCAGATCGGAAGCCCAGAAACTTGGGCTGTGAATTCTGCGGATTGAGGATTTGAATCGTGGGATTAATTCAGGTCCTCAAAGAGGTCCTCCGAGCTCTTTGCTCCAAGTCCTTGGGGCGCACCGTGTGTGCGCTTCCCTGCGGTGTGGGCACACATGGTATCCCTGGCATTCATCCTTTCCTCTGCAGAGAACAGTGAAGCCTGTTATGGCAGAGCTGCATCTTAAGAGGAACGAAAACGTACTGATGTGTTACTGACTCGGAGGGCTTATTTCCTGTTTCTGTAGCAGCGGTGTCCCACACTGCTCAGACTTGCTTCTCTCCTTTATTCATCAATGAAGTGGTTCAGTCTCCGTTCCCCTCACACCTTTCACAACCTCCTGCTTGCCCTTCTGTTTACACAGAGCTCTCTGACTAATTTTGCAGTGTTTCCAATTATTCTGCTCTTCCTCTCACCCTCAGCAAGGCAAAGTGAAATGTTTCCTGAGCTCCATTCCTCCCTGACTCTCTGTAGTGGCTCATTGACCCAGTGGAAGCCAATCTGTGCCTAAACCAGCCCAGGGACAAAACTCAGGGTATAAACATGGAGTATTTGCTTTCAAATCTGACATAAAAAATATGCAACAGCATTCAGTATAGCAGTGTGAAATACTTAATTTTGGGGTTTTTTTAACACTCTGGGCCTTGGGTGACCCTCCTTGTTCACCCTCGCGGGGGTGAATGGTTCCCAGCTGAAATCCTGTTTGCTCTTCAGTGTCCAAACCACATTTCCAAGTTCACCAGTGAAGGTTTTTCTTAGCAAGAACCAGCCAGACTTGTTCTACCTGTGCTCTTTCCGTAGTTAATTTCTCAGAATACAGATGCTTGTAAGAAGAACTTTAATCTGGTTTGGACTTGCCACAAGGCCATGCTTAGCTCTGCCTTAAATGATGTCCATAGGAGCTTCCGCTGTGCATTTTGTGGTTTTTAAGAACATCACAACCACCCCAAAGCAGAATCTCCCCCCTAAACGAAAGTAAAGGTTTCACAACCGCAGTAACTGCAGAAGGAGCGCCCTGTTGCGGATGGGCCGCTTTGCTGCGCCTCCTTCCGATGTGCGCGTTGGAGAAGTAAACTGCTCTGGAGTTTACATTTGGAGAGCCCCAATGGCCGTGGCCACTGCAGCTACAGGCGCAGGTCACAGCGTAGTGGGAAAGACACGTAACCGGAGAGGAGCTCATGTTTTTCTGCTGGAAGACCTGCTGTCACGAACTGTAAGAATTTCTTTAGCAAATGATAAACTTGCCCATTTTACTGAGCTTTAGCGTGTTTGTTACAGCCTGATGTAACTCCAGAGGTGCAAAACCAGGGAATGACACACACCCCCAGGCCATCTGTCTCTCAGTCTTTTTAATACATGTTGGCCTTCGGTGTCAGTGGATGACAGCATACGCTGCCGAGCGGGAAGAGACCTCGCAGCACTGAGTCAGCGGTGCCGGACACGGTCCTGGCCACGCGCTGGCCTTGTCTGCTCACACAGGCGTTAGCCAGCGCGCTGTTTCTGCCTGCTCTGGGGAAGGCTCTGTGTGATTTAGTAAATGCAGTAGCACAGCAGCAAGCAAGAAACGTTTTTCTTTTCTTCTAAGAGGTTGTGGTATGGTTTTTTGGTTTTTTTTTTAGGGTTCACTTTTACTTGCTAGGAATAACTTTGGTTACCTCTGTCCTTTCAGCATCTGGCGAGGTTTTTCTTGATTACACAGAAAGAACGTATGTCGGTGGGGTATATGGGACGTGTTGATCCTGCTTGGCAGCGCTCTCGCAGCGAAGTCTCACGAGCTCTTCTTTCTTGCAGGGCTTACTTGGAGTCGGATGTAGCTGTGTCGCAAGAGCTGATTCAGAAATACAGCAACGTTGTGCTTGGCCACATCAACGGCACAGTCAAAGAGCTGAGGCGTCTCTTCCTAGTCGATGACTTGGTTGATTCCCTGAAGGTAAGTTCGCTTCCTTGCTGACCCAGGTTAGCAGAGTCCTTACAGACACGAATGAACGATGGCGCCCCTGGCTCCTCGTAAGTAAACACTGAGTTTTAGTGTGCTGCTTGGGAGCACTGAGCCTTTTTGTTTTCCAAGGAGTACAGCTGTCCGTTAGGCACGCTGCACTGAATTCGGAGCGCTTCGTGCAGCAGCAGCGGGTGACTTTGTCCTACCAGCACAGTCAGAATGAGGGGAGGACTCAAGTCGGGTTCGGCTGTTACACCTCCTCGCTGGTGCTTCACAGCAGAAACCTTTTAGGAAAACAGGACACGGGTTCAGTGTGGGCCTTTGGAATGTGCCACTGCCATGTTTCCTCTTGAAAAATCTGCGTTTTGGGCTAGACTGGCACGGTTTGGGTTCAGGTTTCTGTTCGTTTCTGTACCGAGATGGCAGATGGTTTGTGTGGGGTTATTTGCCTTAGCAGGAGTTCTTGTGTCTGCTTTTTTGTGGGAAGGGTGGGGGCTGAGCAACTCTTGTTTTAGTGGGAAAGTGAGGTTGACACCAGCATTAGTCCCTGGATTTGGGTGTAAATAGCCATTTCTTTTAGTCATGCAGATTACTGAAGTGGGTTTTGCAAGTTACTCTGCCTAAAGCGTGCAGTACTGCCTCGCAGGCGTCTTGACTGTGTCCGAGTAGTATTTAATGGGATTTATGGAAGGTGGCAGAGCAAAACTGACAGCTGATAACGACAGTAAGAAAAATTAAAAGGAAAAAAAAGGCTGAAGACCCTTCAGTTTCGTTGTGTGAGAATTATATTCTCTCCTTCCCAGCTAATCGCCTTTCTTCATTTCTCAAACAGTTGTTTCCTTTACTGAGTACAGCGTGTTGTCTGTTTCTCTTTCAGTTTGCTTAATCGTCTTGAAATAAAGTTGCATTTATCCTCCAGTAAATCCCTTACTTAGTGCTTTGTACAGTCCTTTTGAGTTGTTGAGGGGCTGGGGGAAGGGTTTCTAGTGAAACTCAGAGAAAGGACAACTGCAAAAGTCCTGTTTAATAGCTATGGAACAGAATCAGAGGCAGATCTTATCCAGAGGTTCTAGGTCCAGTGCCTCGTTACGCTCCAACTTAAAGAGTGTGCAAGAGTTCGCACCGGAAATGTTGCGGCTGATGTTGTGCAAGTCTCCCGCGGAGTCCTTTCTCTCTGCAGAAAGATTATAAGGCTGTTGGGTTGTTACCTGGGTTCTGCTGAGGCAAAGATTCATTTTCCCAGGAGAGGAAGAGGAGATGGGATATTAGCCCTGGGATTTGTGCAATAATCTTTCTGCTCCTAAAGGGCTGTGCAGTAAGTGTAGCTTCATGAGGTAGCTGTGCATTCTTCTGGTCATTTGTCTGGACACGACACACACTGCTGCAATCATTCCATGGCAGAACAGCTTAAACAAGGCCGTTATTGCCTGTGCCTTGCCGGCATTTCCACACTGGGATTGCATTCTGGTGGCTCAGTGCTCTCGCACTGCCCGTCGGTCTGGTCGGTAAGAAGCCGTCTCGCTGTCACACTGAAGTGACCGAGTACTTCGGATTCGTCTCAAGGCCACAGCCTTGACCAAAAGAATTACTGTTACACCTCTGAAACTGCATTTTGGTAACTGAGAATTGGTGCGTGAGGGAGGAAAGGAGCACGTCCTTCGTTTATCGTGGGGTTTAAGGGTGTTGAGTTTCAGCGTTCAGAGAAAAGTTACTTTGCTTAAGTCCTGGTTGGATGTGGTTAAACAACATCACAGCAAAAGCTGTGATCCCAAGGCCTCTTGTAATCTTTAATAACTAAGCCCTTTGTGTGCCTTCCTCTGAGTTACAAGAATTCCCACACCATTTGTTCAGAGATCACAATCCCTGCAGTTACAGAAGAGGAAGCAGTGAACAGCCAACTGCCATTTCAGTTAACGCTGGTTTAAAAATCAGGCTTTTCAGAGGAATGATGTTGGAAGGGGAATCAATTCCAGTCAGAATGTCTTCAAGGCACTCTTAAAATGCTGTGGTATGTAGGAAAGACAGGTTTATTCAGCTGCACTAATTCATTCCTCCTCTCTTCTTCTGACATTTAAAAATGTTTTATGTGGGTTAATTAGTCTAGTTTATGGTAGTTGGGAGCAACCCTCACGTGAAACCGGTGGGTGTCAGGACAGTTCACAAGCACAAGGTACTGATTTTGAAGAGTTTGTGCTTGAGGAGAACATCCCCAGATGCTGGGGTCTTGCATAACATAACGGCCCTGGTGTAATGAAAATAAAAATACCTTGGCCTGTGGAGTTTAAACATCTTTGCTGGAGGAAACGGCACGTTTGTGGATAATTACAGTTACAGAGCTTTAGTGTAGAAAATGCCTGCGGGCCAGTTTATTGTGTGTAATCATTCTGGCTGTAAAATTGGTCTTGTTAGGAGTTTTTATTCTTTATTAAGCAATGCTTCAGTCTTGAGGGTCTTAAAATGGACTCTAAATATTTACGCAGCACGAAGTTCCTCACAGCTCTTGAGGAGCGATTCCAGAGGAGCCCTTGCCAGCGTCTCCCAGGAGAGATGACACTTTGTCCTGAAACGCAGCGATCTGGTGCTTCGCCCCCAGCTGTGCAGCGGTAGCTGTTCTGACACTGGGGCACAGTGCTTCCAGTTTGTCATTGCTCAGCTGATGTTTTGAGAAACGGAGCTCTTTGCTGCGTGTCACAGAATGATGGAATGGGTTGGGTTGGGTGGGACCTTAAAGATCACCCAGTGCCACCCCCTGCCATGGGCAGGGACACCTTCCACTAGACCAGGTTGCTCCAAGCCTCATCCAGCCTGGCCTTGGACACTTCCAGGGATGGGGCATCCACAGCTTCTCTGGGCAACCTGTCCCAGTGCCTCCCCACCCTCTCCAGGAAGAACTTCTTCCTGATGGTTCATCTCAATCTCCCTCTTTCCATTTAAATCCGTTACCCCTTGTCCTGTCACTACAGGCCCTTGGAAGAAGTCCCCCCCAGCTTCCTTGTAGGCCCCTTCAGGCACTGGAAGGTGCTACAAGGTCTCCCCGGATCCTTCCCTTCTCCAGGCTGAACACTCCAACCCCCCCAGCCTGTCCCCATGGCAGAGGGGCTCCAGCCCTTGGAGCATCTCCGTGACCTCCTCTGGACTCTCTCCAACGGGTTCTCAGGCTGGGGGCCCCAGAGCTGGGCACGAACTGTTGAGCTTATTTATTATAAAGGAATTGATACATGGGTACTTCTGGATTTGCCGTTGGATTGCAGTATGCTTTGGGTACTGGGGAGTCGCTAACCGTTGGAATGAGGCAGGCAAACAGCGATTCAGTCCATCAGTTATACTGGTGTTTTATTACATCTTATTGTAACGCTCAGTCTGCGCTTGGGCCCTGTGCTTTCCTTTCGGCCTGTCCCGAGTGTGTGGGAGGAGCAATATTCATTCCCTTTGTAGGTCAATCCTGGTCTCCCCAGCACGGTCCGACATTAGATCCTGATGCTGCTCTGGATCGGAGGAGCAAAGCCTGTGGCAGTCAAATGTTAATCGGCTCTTGGATTTTGATCTTTCTTGGGCTGTAAATTCAATGCTCACTAACTGGCATTGGATAGTTCTGGTAATTGTTGGACTTTGGGATCAATTCGTGTCCCTTACCCCTCTGCCTACATAAACTCATGTTCTCTGGCCTGGTCACAGTCTGCAGCAGCGCGACTACACGTTCACCCAACCAGGGCGGTGCTCGGCTTCTGCAACTTCTGTTCATGCCGCGGAGATCGCGGAGAGCTGTCGGGCACGTCGCTTGAAGCCGGCACGTTGAGTTTGCCGAACACGCAGCCTGCAAGGGAGTCATTCCGAATGACCAGAAACCTGGGGGCTTTTTCCTCCCTTCGCTGGGGAGGGGGATGTGCTGCATGCGCAGCCTTGCTCCGAGGGGAAAGTGTTTGCTCCGTGGAAGTGTCTTATGCGAAGGGGCAGGCAGCCAGCTCGCGCCCTGATGTTGCGGAGAGCAGAACTGGGCCAAGGTTTGCATGAATCATGAGAGAGTTTGGAGAAATCAGCTCTGTTTTTCTTGATAAACCCGGAATGCAGCTGATGGTAACATCGCAGCCTTGCCTCAGGGTTCGCTTTGTGCCTCCAGCGCCCGCATCTCAGCCAGGAAGAACTGACAGCCCGTCGTTTGCCATTAATCCTGCTGCGTTTGGAATGGGATCAGCTTTGAACGAGGCTCTTGAAGTAAACTTCATGTTGTTACGGGGGTTAGACTGGCACTGATTGTCAGGGCCTTGCTGGCTGTTGGTTTGGTTTGGATATGGTGCATCTTATAAGCTAAAATGGGATGTTTGGGTACATAACTTCTGAGTTAATTTGCTGTAGGCTCAATCCTGGCCTTCAGCACGTGTGTCTTCTTGCCAGTGCTCTGTCCCCTGGGAGTATCTTCTCCCTGTCGGAGTGCATCAACTTCGGTTGGTAACTGTGCCCAGATCTTCCCTCCCCAGTGCCAGCTGCAGCCTCTGTGCCGTGTGTGTGTGGCTGTTCCGTGTTGGTGGGGTCTTGCAGGGAAAATAACCAGATGTGCTTAGTTGATCAAGGGGCCGGGGGTCTCGTCCACATGCTCTGACCAAGCGTATTTCGGTGCTTAGCAAGGAACAAGCCCCGGTAAACCCACTATGCCTGACACCCAACTCCTGGCTTCTGCTCTGTTCCTTACGGCTGTGCAACACTAGAAGAAACGGGCTGGTTTTCTTCGGGGAGTAATCCTACACCAAAATAGAGCTGGCAGCCTTCGGCCCCCTCCAGCCGGTATAGGTCAGAGGTGTGCCTGGGACACTCTCCACCTGGCCCAGAGCTGAGGGGTGAACTTGCACAGGTCGTCGCTTAGCGCTGGGGGAGCGGGGCTCTGTGTGCAGGCAGCAGGGTGGCGTGGGGCAGGAACGACGTCGAGGTGCGACTTAGGGGCTGGGACACGACCCCAGAAATGACGGTGTGAGGGTTCAGGTGTCTGTTAACAGAAGGATGTCTTTGCTGCTGAATTTGTCTCTGGCTTGGAGCCAGTTTCCATTTTATGGCACTCTTGACTCCTCTCCTGAATTTTTTAGTAGCCAAAGCTCCAGTGTTTTAGTTTACTTAAGGAAAAAAGTGAAGCCAACCTTGCCACATTACCTTCCAGACAGGTTCCCGTCACAGAACCTCTGCCTAGTCCCGTCAGCAGCTCATTGAGGCCCTTGCTGAGCCAAAGCACGGTTGGGGTAGTTTGGTGCCACCGTCCGTGGCAAACGGCCCATGTGCTTTCTGGCCCTGTCACCGAGGGCCGCGTCCTGCGCCAGCCCTCTCACCCGCCTGTCCCGTCCGTCTCTTTGGGGGGTGGGAGGCAGGAGCTGTCTTGGCCCAGGGTTGGAAGCGCTGCGTAGACACAGAGCACACTGCTGCTTGGGCTGAGCTCAGCCCGATCACCGAGGCCACGTATCCTGTTACTTGTCACTCATCTGCAATTACATGAGATGTACAAGGGCGAAGGGGAGTTGGGGGAGTTTTGGTTTCATACATGCGGTCGCTCTAATGAGCATGTTCGTTAAGACACTGGGCTGACGTGCTGTTCTCTTTCCTTTCTAGTTTGCGGTGTTGATGTGGGTGTTCACTTACGTTGGTGCCTTGTTTAATGGGCTGACATTACTGATTCTGGGTAAGTCTTTTAAATACCTGGCATTCACAAGAACCTGGAAAGGCACCGAGGTCTGCTGGGTGCTGTGAGGCTGTTCCTGTGCTCTTGAGAGTGTAGCGAGATGTTACGGTTCCGTGTCCTTTTCTAGGACACTGATAACACTGCAGAATGGGTCGTTTTGAATTGCAGTGTGGAATTCCTTGAGACTGCCGATTTTCCAGACACTGTATCATTTAAAAGCATGTCCCTGTTAGGGTTAGCCTTGCTCAAGTATCAAATATTGTGACTTGGGAGGAGGAAGGATCTGGCCAGGTCCCTCTGCACGTCCTTTGTTTCTTGTATCCCAGAGCCGTCCGGCTACAGGTGTCGGAAACCAGCGGGCATTGGTGGAAGCCTCAGCATCCTTTCTGAGGATTTGCACAGCCCACAGCTAGAAGGTGAACCGTGACCAAACCTGCTGTACATTAACAAGTCCTGGAGAACAGCCCAGCTTCTCCTTAATTGGGGCTGTTTAAAGTACTGGCCAGCAGTTTTTTGCTTGGGGCTTAGCTATTTCTTGTACCTTTTGGAAAGAAATGTCAAGGTGTGACAGATAGTCATTGTTTTACCTGAACACCACCTGCTTTGTCGTTATTTACACCTTTGATGTGCTCTTTTCCAGCTTTGATCTCGCTCTTCAGTGTTCCTGTTATTTATGAGAGACACCAGGTGAGAGTTTAACGCACCTCATTAAATGCTCTGTAAAATTACATCTCTTGAAGCAAAGATAAAATTCATTTCCATGTTCTAAAAATCCTTAAAGCCTTAAGACCTGGGCCTTTGGCCAGGGCCAGGAGAATGGAGTCCACTTTGAAGCCTGTCATGCGTGTGCTTTCCCCTCCTACTTTTTGGGAGCAGTGAGAAAGCTGCCCCAGCAAACGGTTGCCAAAAAGGGCCCGATGGAGCTGGTGGCCTCCCCTCCTCTGATCCAGCTTTGGCCAGGGCTCGAGCAGCAGTAGGCATGGCGCACTAATCCTGCTGTAAGGGCTTCTAAAACAAGTTCTGAGGGAACCTCCTCGGAGCTGATGTTCAGGACTCGTGTGTCCTAAAACCCCATGGAATTTTTAGCCCTGGCAAAAAGAGGAGGTGGGAGATGCTCGGTGCAGGCGAGTGCTTCTCCTGCGGAGAGGCTGAGGGAAAAGGAGGGACGAAGGAGCTGACATCGATCGTGTATGATTAAATTATAGCCGAGCTGGAGCAGGGACTGTCTTCAGCAGGTCATAGCACAGGAGGGGGGAAGCCAGCGCTGGCTTAGCCGTTCCTTCTCCTCTTTCACAAACAACGCTGCTGATGGAGGCCAGCCTGGGAACGAGGAGGAGAGGCAGAAAGGCAGGGAGCAGATGGTAGAGCCTCCTGGGCTCCACTCCGAGCTCCTGCGAGGGGACAAAGTCCCCTGCAGAGAAAGGAAATCCTGTAGCCCTGGGGAAAGATGAGGGACCATTTGTGTGGCTTAACCCGGGCTCCTCAATCCTCTTGACGAGCTGGAGGCTGCTCTCCGAAGGCATAAGCTGTTTACCAGGCCCGGCCCACCTAAGCAGCTTTCCTTCTCCCTGCTGCCCCTCACCGAGGGCCTTGGCCATGCACCTTCACGTCGGGGCAGCCCCAGCGATGAGGTGGGAGCCACCCGTTTGGTGGAACGTGCAGAAGCCAGGGATGAATTTATGTGGGTACTTGACTGCGGTTCCCTGCCATTGGGTGCATTCCCGAGGGCAAACGTGAACACGTGCTGCGGCTGAAACCGCGGGAGCGCTAGCATCCAACGGGAAAGAAAAGCGGTTGAGCCCCTTCCCTCATCCGTGGCCTTTCCTGTACAGCACGATGTGGTGCGGTGTGACTCTGCCTTGGGGGCAGCAGCGTAACCGTCTGGGAGGGGTGGTCCATAATGTCTGTTTTCTTCAATTTCAGGCCCAAATTGACCATTACCTGGGACTTGTGAACAAGAACGTCAAAGACGCGATGGCCAAGTGAGTTGGGGTCGTTTAATTTCACAGTGCTGTTTAGTTCTTGGTCTGTGGAGTGCTCCTGTGGGGAACAAAGGCATTACGTGCACTGGTCCTGGGAGGGGAAAGGCCTTTGTTGAGGCTGGGAATGGTTACGAAACCAGCTCCTTTCTTGCTGCTGCTGTGTAGTTAATCCTACAGTATTTCCAACAGAAATGTGTGTAGTTGATGCCCGTAGGGAAACGTGAGCCCCTCCCTGCGCAGCTGCAGTTGAGGGTGAATGAACAGGAATCAGTTTTGAGTGTAAGAGCGTGTGTTACCCTCATAATTGCTGTCTCGTGTTGCTGTTTAAGACTCTGTTTATGCCTGCTTTGTTTTGTTCTTGACTCAAGTGCTGTTCTCTCTCCTCTCCTGTTCCTCCTGTAGGATCCAAGCGAAGATCCCTGGGTTGAAGCGCAAAACTGAATAAAAAGCCTGAAGCGACGTACTTGATAGGAAGTTCATCTTTTAAGGGGGAAAAAATACTCATTTGGATTTACACGGGGAGGGTCAGGGAATAGCAAAGCCCTTGACATTGCAGTGCAATTTCACAGATCTTTATTTTTTAGCAACGCAGTGTTTGAGGAAACAAACAAAGTAACTGTTTTGACTGCCATGTGTTTCATCATTAAGTATTGTAAGCTGCTGTGTATGGATCTAAAACTAATCATCTTCCTTTATCCTGTGTGCAGCACTGGCTAACGCAAGCGAGCTGCGAAAGCTGTACATTTTGCTTAGCAGAGGTAGTCCCCGCTGCGTTCCGGAGGAGGTAGTGCAGGTGGAGCGGAGGAGAACACTTCCCGGTTTGTTGCACTGTGTATGGTCTGTGTAGATTGATGCAGAATTTTCTAAAATGAGATGTTTTAGAAGAATATACCATCCTAGCAAGTTTTGAAGAATCTTGCCTTTTTGGTATGAGTATAGCTGTATTGTGATTTTATTGTTTTATCAATTGCCAATATATATATATATATCTGTGTTTCACAAAGCTTAGATCTTTCAGCTGCTCCACAGTGCTTTGTACTGCAGAGAATTGACTGATTTCTGAACTAGCTCCATAGCACACAAGCTTGAAAAGCTAAACCGTCTCCGTAAACACTAGCATCTGGTTAATAAAACACCCGAGAGGAACGAACAAAAGGAGCCTCCACATCTGTTAAAACGACAGCGTACGCGCGCTTCGTGGCGCGAAGGTGCAGTAGGTGGTTTGGAGCAAGTAATTCTCCAGTCTCTCAAGCTCTGATCAGCTGTGGGCCGAATATCGAATGCTGCAAACGGTGTTTGGAAACGTTCAAAACCTTGTGACGCAAGAATCGCTGAATGAAAATTGATGCACTTGCAGTTTGGGCTGTATTGAACTAAGTCTGTGGAATGCATTGTGAAATGTAAAACGAAACAAAACCCCCAACGAAAGGAAAAAGCGAAAAAAACCAACCCCACCCCATGCCCCCCAAGTATCAATAAAGCTTATAGACATAAAACACCACCCGCATTTTGCTTTCTTGTGGCAAGGTTCATCTGTTGGTGTTTATTTGAAGTTCATGGTGATTAAATACCCGTTGTACAGGGCAGTGGAAGTAGTTTGCCAGGCGTAGGGCAGCAGGAGGAGACGGGGTCTCCATGCTACCTTTTCTTTTGCGATGTGCCCTGTGAAGCAGTTGGTCCAGTTCCAGATTTGACTCCGGAAAGCCGTGTTGCCCAGCGATGCTCGGCACAGGGTGTGCATCTGGCTGCAGCCAGGCGGCCCCGGTGCCAGGTGCTGCTCAGGCAGTGAGAGTTGGTTCTTGGAAATGGTGAACGATGAAATTTAGATTGTGCCCAACGATGATCCTGGGTTTCTCTCATGTTTGAGACAATAAGGTGTGATGCCACACTCCGCTTTGCAGGAATTTGTTAAAGCAAGTCCCGGTAATCTTTTCAGCTCAACTCGCTGAACCTCATTTAAGAGCTGGACGTGGAAAATTTGTGTCCAAATTTATGTGCAAGACAGATTTAAAATTAATGGCATCTGGACCCTTAAATTCATGCACTAATATTTTAGTTTGCAGTATAATACAGCGTTACTTCTGAGCATTTCATACATAAAGCCAGACCATATAGACATACAGATTTGAAGTGTTTTCCTGACAGACACTATTGCTTTAAGATATTTTTCCTGTCGCCGTTTATGAATTCATTCTGCCACGCGACCGGTTTTATTTGGGATGCAGTCGGTGTGAAAGGAAGGCAAACGCGATGCAGCATAGGCAAGGTCGGTGCTTGCTGACATCACCACCTCACATGATTACATCGTTTGCTCAGGCAGGTTTCTGTAAAAAACCGACTGCGCTGGGACTCTTGCTGTGTCTGACAAACTGATCTGCTGGGGAGCCAGATAAGGCATTAATAAATCCAACTTAAAACCAAAACCCAGGGCATTCGTTGAGGCTGCTGGAGCACTTTTCTGGGTTAAGGGTACCCCGACAGCTCCGCTAACGGGCTGGTCGTTGCCCCCAACAGCCACCGTCCCCAGCGGTGGGAGGCAGCAGGCTTCCTCAGTGCAAAATGACACTGTCCTGGAGTGGGGCTAAAGCACGCGTTGGCGCTTCTGTGCAAAGACAGAACTTACATCGTTTTGGCCTCTTTTGGTCAACAAACAGTCTTTTCAACTAATTTCAAAATAGGGATGTCTCAAAATGTGTTAGTTTTGACACTGCCCATGTTTCATTTCCTTGCTAAACAGTTTAATTGGGAAAAGTTGGAACTTCTTTTCTCCAATTCCACCATCCCTGGACTTTTTGGCTTTGAGGAAACAGTCGCTGACAAACACCAAACGGCTTTACTTGCCTTTGGTGGCTGTCTGCTCACGGTCTCCATCTCCTCCCTTCTCAGCTGCCCCCCACCCTGCCATCCCGCTGCCCGGGCGCGGGGGCTGCAAGGGCAGCAGTGATGGGGAGAGGAACCCGGATTCAGCGAAGGTTGAGCTCTTCTCCAGGCTAGGTAAATTTTCTGGAATTATTTCCTACTCCTAGCAGGATGGGACTAACTGGCGGTTGGAGGGGCGTGCAGTCCCAGCTAGTGATGTGCAAGGCCTTCCTAGAGATGGTTCTGGATCTCCAGGAAGCCTCTCTGGAATAAGAAGAATGGGAATAGTGATTCTGGGGGGCTTTCAAACCACTTAAGTACACTAGATGGCCGCTGCCGGTGGAAGCAGTTCCTTGTAGAGCACGTTTTCACACAGACGGGGAGGGTGCAACAACTTCCTCCCTCTTGGTGGTAACATTCCTTTATCCAAGTCACTCCCTACTCTCCGTTACACGCTTCCAGTGCCGGCTGCAGTCACGCTACCATCCCACCCCAGCTGTGAACAGCTTATCAAGAGGGGTAATGCCACCCAGAACTTGTCCTTGTTGCAGCACCTAGCTTCTTGCTCTCGGAAACCTGTTGGAATTCACGTGTGAAGGCGTTCCAAACTGAAGCAGAAAGCAGGGATAACGTAAGTACACGTCTGGGAAAGGTGTTGATGGTTAGCCCTCCTCTGTGTGGAAGTTGTAGCACCGTATGTTGAAAGCAATTGGTGGGAGGCAAGACTGTAGCCCATACTACTGGAAAATGATTCAAAGGCACTTCATGGATAGAAAAGTTTGCCAAATATATATATATTTAAAAATAAAATGGAGTTAAAAAAAAAGATAGTTTGCCCCTTGGTTACTGACAGCTGGAGCGTGAACCCCAGCATGCTGAGGAGAAGCTTGCAGTTTTCCTCAGTGCACCAGATTCGAGTGTTGAGCAGGTGTGGTTAAAACCCACCAACTTTCTTGAACAAAGGTTCAAGCCACCAATTTTGAGATTACACAAATTAAAGGGCCCAGCGTTTCCTCGGCGTGCTCCCTTTCGGACACGGGCTGGATAACACAGTATTAGGCAAAAGCAGCTTTGTGCGTGAACCGTTCCGTCACCTCGGCCTACCCGGGTTACAGAACGATTCCAGCTTCCTTCTCGCGGACAGGGGTCTGTCAAATGCCAGGTCACATTCGCGGTCAGTCGGTTCGTGTGAGTAATCTGGAAGTGTCTCATCCGTGCGGCATCGTCTGGAAGTTACAGCAGCCGAAGGGGGGAGACGCATTCACGGCTGTCCAGGCCGGAGCAGTCACAGCAGCGCGAGGCTCCGCTCAAAGGCACCGCCACACAAATACACTACAAAGAAAACATTCCGTGAGAGCGCGGTCACTTTCCTGAGTAGCTCGGCGGCAATCCTCAGTGTACCGTACTGAGAGGGGCGCGAAAAACACGTACACGGCTACCACTGCCGGGTAAAGCACGGCGAACCCTGGGGGTACTCCACCAACACCGGCACTCGGGGGCACCTCCTTTCATAGAATCACAGAATGGTTGGGGTTGGAAGGGCCCTTAAAGATCATCCAATTCCACCCCCCCTGCCATGGGCAGGGACACCTTCCACTAGACCAGGTTGCTCAAAGCCTCATCCAGCCTGGCCTTGGACACTTCCAGGGATGGGGCATCCACAGCTTCTCTGGGCAACCTGTCCCAGTGCCTCCCCACCCTCTCCGTGAAGAATTTCTTCCTGACATCTAATCTAAACCTCCCTGTTTTCAATTTGTACCCGTTACCCCTTGTCCTATCACTACAGGCTCTTGTAAAAAGTCCTCTCCCAGCACCCTTGTAGGCCCCCTTCAGCTACTGGAAAGCTGCAATGAGGTCTCCTCGGAGCCTCCTCTTCTCCAGGCTGAACAAGCCCAGTTCTCGCAGCCTTTCGTCACAGGAGAGGTGCTCCAGCCCTCTGAGCATCTTCGTGGTCTCCTCTGGACTCGCTCCAAGGGGTCAATATCCTTCTGATATTGAGGGCTGATTTCCTCGTCAGAGTCAACCCATCGTAACTGGAGCGTGCGGTTTCGTGATGGGAAGGGGCTGGAAAGGCTGTTCCATCACTCGCTACAGTTAGACTTTGAATCACGACAGCCTCATCATGACTACGTTGTCAAAATTTACGCAGCTGACAGTTTGTCCGAGTCCACATAACTGCAGGTTGAGCACCCAGGTGCGTGCAGCCACACTCTGACCTGACAGCTCCCTGCTCTCCCACTGGGCGACCCCGCTCCCAAAGGAAAACGCTTTCTTCTCTTTTTTTCCCCCCAGTGGAAAATGAAAAGCTCTGGTTGGTGGGGGGCTGAATTTGAAGAGCAGCCCCTCTCGAGCAGCGGGAAGCGTTACATCCCCTGCAGGGTGCTGAACAATCCAGACGGAGCAGCGGTACCGATGCTGCCGGCTTGGCGGGGAGCCTAGTGCCAGCCTTGGTTTGCTGCTGCCGGAGCAGCCGCGCAGACTCACTCACTGGCGATAGTGACTCAGTCCTGCAGGCTCTGCCTTGTATTTTCCTTCTGAGTACGCGGTTACAAATACCTGTTCTTGCCTGCAGCTTCCTGACGCTTGCCCCTGTGAGGATTTGGGCCCTTTTGTTCCCAGCCTTGTTGCTTTTTGCTAGTTCTGGGTTTTGCTGTTTTAAAAATCTCTTTACAGCTCGTGTTTAACCACGTTTAGTTTTTGTTCCCACCTTGCTG